CCTACGCGACGAGCAATAGAAAAAGAAAAAAGGAAAAAGGGGAAAAAAAGAGGAAAGGAGCGGGAAACGGGGGGTGGTTCTGGGTGAGGATGGTGGTTCTTTTTCCGGTGGAATTGTCGCGGCGGTCGGTTCGAGCGGCGATCACGATAAAACCATCGGACAATAATAAACAATGCGTGAAACGACAAGTACGGCCGGGCCATTCCGCGAGATGTTATCGCGGCGCGCGCGCTAGCCACCGGAGAGCGCAATCAATCATTCGAACCGGATAAAATATAAAATACGCTGCCATGGAATACGACAACGACGACGACGACGACGACGACGGCGAGGAGGAGGAGGAGGACCAAGAGTAGGAGGTGGTGGTGGTGGTGGCGATGTGTGTTTGCCGTTTTATTTATTTGCACGGTCATGCAAGTTCCGCGGAATTAACGTATTTTTTGCACGCGACCCGACCACCACCAGGATGACGGGTCGATCCGCGGCCTGAGCTTTTATTATCGCCCAGGCTTAATGGGGGTTTCGCGCGCGAACACAGCCCACCCCTTTCCACCTGCAATTTTTCCTCTCTCCTTTTCTTTTTTTTTTCTTTTTTAACATCGTGACGCCCGATTAAGTGTCGCGGAACTGTCTCTGCCGAACCCTTTTCTCAACGAGAAAAATCGAAATTTCTCACGGTGGCGGTAGAATTATTGAAACTCTTACGTATCCCACTTGGATTTCTGTGTCGTTGTATTTTTACCTTGGATCTCCCCGATCTTAACCAGCGTGAAAAATTACTAAGAAAAGGGGACAATCTTCGTCGTTAAATGCACAGCGGCACCTGTACACGTTGCAGAGTGGGGAGGAATGAGAAATTCGTGGACAATGGTCGAAATTCGGTGTACCGAAAGGACGCTTAAGCGTGGCGGGACAAGATGATTCGAGCCACTGTAAACGAATAAGTTGAAGGAAGAGTGGGTTGAAGGGCTTGGAAGAAATATTCCGTGGAGCATAATGACGACCGGCGAGCGCATCGTGATGGATGGTACTCGTTGTATCTTGTATCGCGCTATCGCTGCTACCACTTGCTTATTAAACTGTTCGGTATTCCCGTGGTGGACGGGCGCAACAAGCCGACCCGGCCCGGCCCGGCCACGAACAACGCATCAGAGAGCAGAAGGAGAGGAAGATCGATGCTCGTCCCGACTGGGACCGAAACTTTTAATAAATGTCATCTGCTACCGAGGTAGTCTCTCCGGTCACTCGTTATAAATCGCTACCGTGCGCCGAAAATTATCTGATTCCACGGAGCCACGGCTGGACGGGAGCTTCGACTTCGCTGTACAAACTTTTCTATACAGCCTCTCTTCTTTCCCTTTCTGTATAGGTACGTGAAAGTGGTGTACCTACACGCGAAGATGGAAGATTTTTCACCTTTGGAACGAGAGACGAACGGTGCAATTATCTACCGATTGTTTATTAGGTAACAACGTACAAGTATCGCGGAACGGAGGCAACGTTGACAAAGTACAATAATCTTACTAGCGGGCTGTTCTATAGTTTACGGAGCGGAGGAACTATTCTTGGATTTTTGAGGAAGAAGGTGTAATATATGTGTTGGTACTTCGAGGAGCGGGGATTAGGGTTTGTAAGGGTTTGGTATACCAAGGGCAGAGTCCGAGGGTGACTCGGAATTAGTCAGGAAAGGATGAGGTGATGAGGTCGAGGTTCGAGGATAAGTAGTAAGGAAAGGATGAAGTCGTTGTTTATCGGAATTTCGGGTATTTACAAAATGAGACTGGAAGACTGATACTTAAATCCACAGCGTGATTTAGAATATTAGACAATGTCGGCATACAACAATCTCTGTGATAACGTGGAAAATCTTAACGGTCGAGGACAGAGACAAAACTTTTGGCGGGATTCTTTGCAACGGTGAAATATTTATTTTCCACGGAGATGAGATAAATAAGAGAGGGGAAAAAGAGAGAGACTACATTGGATTGGGACAGTGGATTGTTCATGAACTAACGTCTTTCTTAACTTTCAAATAAACTGTCTTTATTTAATTTGAGATTTACCGGAGAAAACGTTCGAACTATGCGAGGTGAGAAAAATATCAGCTCTGACATTTTCTGAACAAAAGATAGTGTTGATTCATTTTTGACAGTAGCACATCAAACGTGCACTCCGGGACGAAGTATCCAACAGACTATCACCGTTACGAATAATTTGAGCGGAACGCGAACAAGCCTGCGAGGTTGGAAGCCTCTCCGCTAGAGAGAGAATTCCCGAGCGCTAGTTTTCTGTGGACACCCGGTGTACGAAACGGATGATTGCGCTCCGCGAACGCAACAGATCGCTACGTTATTATTTTCGCCAGTTATCGAATTAGATGTTGGCTTAACGGGTACGTACGGGCACAGGTCTCTCCTCTCCAGCCCGCAGTCTCATAGGCGTACATACACAGCCCTCGGATCTTCTTTATCGCGCGATAGTAACGAGAGCATAAAACTTTACAGGGATCCGCTTAATTCAATTCGCCCGACGCGACCATTCTGTTCCATTTTTTTCTCTCCCCCTCGGCCTAGTGTCTATCCAACTTGATCTCGCGATCTGAGAACGATCTTTCTGTATCGAGGAGGCACGGAAAGTCACCGTTAGTTCTATAAGTTTACGCTGTCCACTTTTGTGCAGTGCAAGGTAGAGTACTCTGGTGATCCTATATGGAACATTTCTGAAAAGATTCCTCCTCTGTCGGAGCTCAGAAATCTTCGAGTAATTCCTTCAATACTTCCAACTAGCTCCTTTTTCGTTTTGTTTTTCTTCAGTAGGTACGAATAAAATTCTCTCCACTTCCTACGTAGAATCGATCAATTCCCCCAAATAGTTCCTCTAGCTTCGCTTTTCCCCTAATCGAACACGCCGTCGAGTAGAATTCTCGAGTTTCCGCGCAACAGGAATATCCCCAGCAGGCAGGGGATTCATCAATCGAACGTGATCTAGAGCCGGAAGGAACGACGGGGGGTGGGGGGTATGATCGCGGAGTCCATGGCTCGACGTCAACTTTTCCCTAGGCTCGGCAAGCGGCTCAATTTCCTGAGAGAGTTGTAAATTATGCCGATTCCGGATCGCACCATGGATGACGCCCATGGGCTCCTTTCTAAGACCATCTTTCTCACTCCTGTATCGTCCCTTTCTCTGTCATTCCTGTCTCTCTCTCTCTCTCTCTCTCGCTCTGCTACTCTATATGATTCCCTCGGATGGCTCCAAGTACGAAGATAGGGGCTTCCCCGAGATTACGGCTCACTCGTTACTACCTACAACGTACTTACGTTACTTTTAGAACCGCTTATTACTGTGATTACCGGCGCATAATGCGACGACCGAGCGTTCTACAATTTATTATTGAATTGCTATAATACGAACTACGTTGTTCCACCCTAACCTCTGCGTGTAGTGTGTGTGTGTACACGCGGAGGAAAACGTACGGGCTGCGAAATCTACGGTCGATAACCGGACGACAAAAATAGAGGAAAATTCTCTTCCTACCCCTCCGCCGTGGAGAGACGGCTATTTTTCTACTCTCTGCGTAGAGTACATTCGACAGGGGGAATATGTAGAAACACAGGCCAGGAGGGAAGACGATAACCGAAAAGTGAACAGATAGCGCGAATCCATTAACATTTTTATTCGTATGATTCGTTTAAATTGTGCTCTTAAGATGACACCATTATCTAGGGTCGCTAAAGATGGCCACAGCTATTACCGCAGCTGTGTATATACACTTAACCCTCGACTGAAATTTTTCTTTTACACGCGGTTCCCTGTTTTATTTTAACCACGATTTCTTCGCCAACTGTTTGAATTTATCTTAGAAATGGTCCCTCTCAACTTTCCAAGTTACAATCGTTAGTTTTCCAATTTTCTAAAAAATCTCATTTCGGTGGATACGGTACCAATTAACCACGAACAGATCGAATTTTTTCTCTCAAGGGCACTACTCGAAACGCGGAAGAGGATGCCCAAGGCGCGCGCGCACACACAAACACAGGCTCCTATCCACGCGGTGATGCGAAATCACCGGTCTTCTATCCCCCTATTTTCAATGGCTATTCATTGTTGCGTTCGTGCGTGATTGGACGAGCTCGAAATAACACATTTAAGCGAACGAAGAGTCTACACATGGCGGAGCAACATTTTCTAGAGCGGGTAATCCTGTGCCCGATAACATTACACGTTGCCGGTAATGCATACTCTCTCCGCTGACAATGCATTAACACAGACGACGTACAGGATAGACCTAGCATCTTATGGGACTTTTTGTTCGGTTCTTCGGGGGGTCGAGAAGACCCTTACCATTTTCGTGTCGCTACCAACGTTACCGATTCAGCCTAGAATATGATAACAACATTAATAGAGGTTGGAATTGGAATTAAACGTAACTATGAAATTACAAATAAGAAAGTAACGTAATTGTTTGTTAGTAGATGATTCATCGCATGCACGTGTTCTACTGCTGTCAGAAGATCGTGAACAATTCTATCCACCCAGTCCAAAATATGTGTGCATCTTTGTATGCAAATTTGATAAAATAAAATTTTTTTACATCTGTCGATTTTACCATCTTTGATGATTGGATTGTATGTAATTTCTAAACTCACCGCTTTATATTGTAGAGGGCATAACAAATCCTTCGATTGTTTACACGATCGGTATTTCAGAACGTCGGACACAAAAATACATTAGGTGCTAGGTTTATCCTGTACCTCGTCGTCTGTGGTTCTTCTAAAATTTTTTTTCTTACAATTAAATTAAATTCTTCGATAATACAAATTAATCTCAAAGGACTCTTCAATTTACAAAAAAAAATAGTTGTTAGGAATTTTTAATTTAATAGGTTAAGAGATTTTGAGGGTATAAAAAAGTTGTGTTATCGATGGTAAGTAAGTAGAGTAATGTCTTTCTCTCTATTCTGACCAATAGATGTCGATGAATGTGATATCGACTGTCAACATTCATGGCACAATATGTATTATCGACCGTATTTAATAATATTTTAAACAAACAATACCGAAGAACGAAAAACCTATTGTTTGTTTAATGGACGTCGTTAAAAAGAGTAACACAATTATTTAAACTTCGTTCTGAATGGAACGAATAATTTTTAGTGAAAGAAGAATCTAACCTAACAATGTAAACAGTCAAAATTCTTTTGTTTCAGAAACATGTAATTTTTCACAACTGAAGGAACCTAACATAACATCCACTGATGTAGACAACTATTTAGTTGAAGGTAATTAAAAAAAGGACAATAAAAATGCAGCGAACAAATTTACCAGTAGTCTCAATGCAACTGGACTCCTCCATTGCAATAAAAATAAGCATGGGAGGATCAATGTTCCAAGAGAGAACACTAATGGGTCGTTCAGATGTGTGGCACAAGATTAAAATTGTAAATGGGACTTTATATGATAAAGAGACAGTACTGAAAGCAATTCTGACTGCTATAGAGCCAGCAGAACTAATTCCTGTTAAGTACCAAGCCAATGCAGAAGATACTTTTTTCCTGGCACGCAATTGTGCTCATGCCCTGGATAAACTCTGCAAGACTAACTTAATAATAAAGAATCCAGAGGGAGATCCATTGATACTAGTAGTAACTTTGGGATTTGCATCTATTCATGACTTAAAAATTAATCTTCAACCGTTACTTTTGACTGCTCTAGCCAAGAAATATGACCCTAATAAGAGATCCTTGGATTTGGAGCAATTTCACAAGGATCCTGATATGTCTAAGACTGTCTATTGCCCACTATCTCAACAGAGAACTTTTAATCATGTTCTGAAGCTAACAAAGTCTGCTATAGCCACAGTAGAATACTTGAATCTACAGAAGAACGAGTTATTTAACCTGTCTCCCATAGAAGCTTCTAATTTGACCTCGATAAGATATATGGATCTGAGATATAATAATTTAATAGCTATGGAAGCACTTACTCCGTTGAAAAATCTGTGTATACAGAGATTATGGTTGGATGGAAATCCTCTCTGTGAAAATTATGCAAGTTCCAAGCAGTATATAGAATCTGCACTAAAATATTGCCCTAATTTAACTCAGTTAGATGGAGTATACATTAGAACATCTGGACTACCACTGACATATGCTAATTATTTCAAGAATTTGTCAAGAGAAGAACTAGTTGTTAAATTTGTTAACCATTTTTTTAACCTATATGACCATAGTGATAGAACAGTCTTGAAGGGAATCTATTACAAAAATGCATTCTATTCAATGAGCTTTGGAATTACTTCATCGGTGGCCCATAAGAGGAACCTTGTTCAATTTACAGCCAACAGAAATATACTGAGGAGTGCAGATCTGAATAAAAAAAGACAACACCTCTATTATGGACAAGACAATATTCTAGGAGGTTTAAAGAGGCTACCAAGGTCCCATCATGATAAAACTTCATTTGTGTATGATTTAATGTATGATGATGGCAAATGCTTAGTCATTTCAGTCAGTGGACTGTTTAAAACAATGAACAACTCTTCTCAAGTATTATGGTTTAATAGAACCTTTGTTTTGCAAGCTGGTCCTGACCATGAGTACAATATTTTGAATGATCAGTATCATGTGGACTCCACTTTGGCAGAAATCCCACCAAATAGTATAGAAAGCAAGGTTCCTTATGATGAAATTTCACCATCTTGTTTCAGTACGAGTGAGAAAAAAGAATTGATGAATAAATTTTTAGAATTAACTACTTTGAACAGTGACTGGAGTCAGACCTACATGGAGGAAGCTAAATGGAATTTAAGAAAAGCTATTTCGAATTTTATGAAGGATTACAAGTCTTCTGCTATTCCTACTGAGGCCTTTTTAAGATAGTATTATATGTTTCTTTATGTATCGACTATGTAAATATTTGTAATATTCGTATTTTTCAATAAAATATATGTTCTTGGATCAAGTCGTTTATTTTGTGTTCTGGTAATCTATTCCTTCGGTAGATGGCTCCACAATGTGCATCACAGTACAACCAAACACTATAAGAGCTACATAAACTGAACGATTTTAATCATTTAAAGGAGCTATAATAAGATATTCCAATGAAAGAAAAACGGGATATCCTTGGTAAAAGAAGACTTTTTCTTTCCCAAGAATTACTATGTTAGGGCATATCCAACACCAGCATAGATCAATGAGCGCATCGTGATGTTACTCCTCTGGCATTTAAACCGAGGATGTTCACTGACTTCATCAAAAGGTTATACATTCAAGGATCAGGCTGATTACAGGGGGCCTGAGTGAATGAGACGACAAGCCTGTTGTTTTCTTCTTTTTAGTCTCTTTCACCGAATATCACTCTTGGTTTATGCAATAGCAGTTTAGCGAACCGCGGACTATGATTAAAGTATCCCTCGCGTTAAAACATGTAGATGCCGATAACAAGATTTCTGAAATAAGCGGGAGAGTGGACAGACTTTAATTGTGATTTATAGGCTATAGAAACCATCGCTGGAAGATGTACCATGTTTAAAATGTATGCACTTACACGTGAAAAATTTCCTGATATTGCAATTACGGGGGAAATGAAAGCAACACTGGCTCCGTTATCAGATTCACAGAGGAAAACTGTGCAAAACCATAAAAGGTATGGCTAAACGAGCGATCAAAGCCTGGTAAAATAATTTTTCTCGAGATTCAATCTCAAGGAGCGCTTCCCATTGCGCAAACGTGGCCATTTCCTGGTCCCATAGCAGGAAGATGGCCGACAATAATGCTGATTACGCGATCACACGTGTTAGTCGAGCGTCTCGGTTTACCAACAATTACTGCTCGCATACCTGGCGGTATAATAAAATGATTGTTGCGTGGTGGATCCTCTGTGAGACCCCCAACGGCCTCCCACGAAACTTTTGCCCACGATTATTCCAGGATATGCCCCCGACCAATTACAACTTCCTTCGATCGGTGTTTCCTGGCCCGTCCACGCCAAGGTTTCGATACGAAAGTCGAGTTAAGACCGTGCGTGACACTGATTGCCGATTTCGTAACGCGTCACGGGGTATAAATCGTTGATTGAATTTTGATAATTTACAGTAGACGTATAGTTAGTTATACTTATCTAAAAAAAAAAACAATTAAAATCGCTATGATAGTTGGTACAGCGGATAACCTATGCACAAATATACCCTAAAAATTTCAAGTCACTTGGACTATTGTTAGTAGTTCTCCAGACTTTTCGGCTAGAAATCTGGGAAATATGAAATTAGCTCGGATCTACTACACCTGCGTAACACTATACTCCTCGAATCTCTATAACTTTCTCAATTTTGGACATTTTTGAAAAATTCATCGTGTTCTACACGCTTATCAACCACCGTATAGATGGAAAGTTGGAATTTTTTTGGACCGTAAGGTACTAAGATACCGCCTCGAAGATGGAAAATAAAACGACAGGCTCCAGGTGACCGGGCAGAGCATCCTTGTGCCAGATACGACTCCGCAACGACATATTCGTAGCACTAGACTGATCCAGCGATCTTCCGATTGCGACTCGAAGCGAATCGGGGATTGGAAATTTCGACAAAAGCTTATTGACCGGAAAATCGAAGGGAAAATTGTAGAAAATTAATCTCGAGCGTGATTGCAGAGGTGGGAATCTGGTAATTAAGATGCAGCAAAGTTGCACCATTTCTCCAGTAATGAATGCACGCTTCCTGCGCTCCCCCCAATTACAGGGATCTTCTCTTTCTAATGAAACTCGGCTACGATCACGCAATGTTCCTCGCTTTCATCAATTTCGCTCGTCTGTTTACGTTCCATAGAGATTTCGATATCATTTTCATCTCGAATACACTCGTGAAACTTTTTCCGAGGCTGATAGATATATCTATCGTTTTACGTGAACATACGCGCGGGCATAGGTGATTTACGGAGGTTAGGTTAGGTTAAGTTAGGGATACGCATGGAACAGAGTATAAATTCAATTTTCCAGGGGCATTGTTGGACTAATTAGAGAGCCTCTCACTGGCGCTCGCGATCGTCCGTGGACCCTCGCCGGAAATCTCTCACGGGAGTTGCGCATACGCCGACTCCCGCACCATTTTGCCCCAGATCGCCGCTGGAAACCCCCCCCTTTTACGTAATCCATGTCGCGTTTAACATTCGAGGAACCGGTTCACCCGAAATCAGCCATCGTAAAATTCGTGAAAAATATTAATTTCTTTCACATACAGCTGCTATTTTTTATCTTACTAGTTTCTGGCTAATGAAATGGGAATTTTAAGGAAATTTCAACGGCTAATATTACATATATTACTTGCGGTTGTAAAATAATTCCACCATCTTTCTTTGTGATCGTTAACGCACGCTTAAAGAGACATTATTTCATTATGTTAGTGTTAAAATATTTCCTTCTACCGTAATACATGTGTACGCCTTAAATAAGTCGATTATCTAGAATATTTTCGGCGGACAAAAAAATCTAAAAGAATCCCCAATTTTATACAGACATTCTCGGTCCACTAATTAGAGGTTAATTTGGTCTTTTTCTGGTCCAAAGTCAAGACGAAGTTCAGCGCGCAAGAAGGAAACACTGTAAGAAGCAGCTGCTTGTGTAACTTCCACGTTCCAAGCTTCTTCACGGAGAGCATCGCGTTTATGCAACATTGCTCGTGGATTCACGCACGCACGACACCATCGACCGGTCTCTTGTCGTGTGTGTCCCAAGTGAAAGTTACGCTTACTGTCGGCGCAGCGTCGCGACGAGCCGATGCCATTATAGAATCGGAAGCTGCACCGTCCAGATGCCTTGATTTCCACTCCGTACGGCCGCGTATACATACAATACGAATAGAATAAATTCACTTCCATTATTATGTTTCACCACGGTGGGAAGTATCGATTGTTCCGCTCATTAGACGGCGAACAATATTGGGAAAGGCTGATCACAGCGCGAACACCGTTCTCGATAAAAAGTGGAGCACTTCCCATCATTGGAAAATTACTTAGACGGGCCAATAAGGTCTCTAGACCCTGGGAATGATTTCTCTCGGGACTGGAGGCATTGTCCTGAAAGGGGAAAGAAACACTTGGAAAATTCGAGATTCTTCGTTAATTCGGGTAAAAATGCGTCTAACGAAGAATCGACAGTTCGAGTGAAATTTTCAACGTACAAAGACTCGATGTTCAACTTTGTGTTGGGTACGTTTTGACAAAATAAACACAGACAATTTGGAAAATTGTAAGGTGAAGGAACTGCCATCAGGATTACGTAAAGGAACAGCGATGAGCGGATAATAATTCTGTCTTTCGCACGGAGTTGCGCACTATGTCACAATAACGAGCGGCCCGTAATTAAGACCCAGGAGAGCTGCGATAATTGTACTCGGGACAAACCCACACCGTATAGATGTACCTACTTAAACAAAAAACATAAAAAAAGAATTCATCATTTTCGGAAATAATTCCTTTTCCATTGATACACGTGAGACGTCTGCTAGCCCAGAGAAACCTTAAACTAACGGTGTACTATAAATTACACCACGAATTGTCTCATAAGAGATATGCAAAAATTCTAGAGAAAAAAGGGGAATACGATTGATTGAACGAAGAGGATCAGGATTCTGCTCGAATCGCGAGCAGGCATCTCTGCATAAACGCTAAGAGTGATCTCTTGGCCAATTAATTTCGACACCAGCCACCGATGAATCGATGAAAAATTTCATCGAACTATCGCGCAAGTGGAGCAACAGCTGCCTCGAGGAAAGAGGCTGAGTCTAACGACACTATGGCACTACTGTGACAAATGAAGATATTAGGCAACTTATTCGTCCAAAATGACATGTACTTTGCTTCGATATTTCAGACACTTCCTATCTTCGTTGAAGAAAAAAAAAAGAATCATTAGACTGAATTAAGATTTGATCAGAATTGTATCGAATTAAGAGCAGAAATTTCGAAATTTCACCGTAGAACGAGCCTGTAATATTTCTGATTTTCATTAAGAGAAAAACAATACGGAGCAATTTGTTACGTGCAACTATTAATAAACTTCTGAAGCGAAAAATGGTTTATAATAGTCGAGTAGTGTCATTTGTAAGAGGGTTCTTTGGTCCTAGAAGTCGGTTAACGAGCCGCTCATAGCTCAGGGGCCACGGGGAGCAGCGATTTTCAGGATGATCGCCAGAGACGAGTCGTGTTCGCCTCGAAGAGGATGCCTTTTGCTTTCACTTTCTCACGTGCCGTGCGGACCTCGCGAATACTCCCCTCCATCGTCTTTCATAGAGGATAGATAGATCCTCCGAGAGGATCCTCGAGCCGTTCACGACTGCGTAATTGGCTTTTTCAAAAAGCTTCGGTAATTCAGGTTAAAACTAAAACGATCCTAGATCAAACTCGATAAAGAATTGCCACGAAATCCAACTTTAATCGCAAAGGATCGATTTGAAATTGAGGAAAGGATTTGGGAGATAGATACGATAAATCGTTTCTTTTCGAGGAGATGAAAATACGGTGTTGGTTTTATTCTAAATAAATGACTTTACTCTTCGAATGATTTTTTTCAGAATAGACCAAGCAGAGGATAAGAAGATACAAAACGGCCGAGGAGAAGCGTAATTGCGACAGTGTAATTGACGCCGCGATGCAGCTGGGAGATAGGGGCCGCAGCACGCGAGGATAATACTCAAATGTAGAATAGTCTCTCTAGATAGTAGTGAAATTGCTATTGCATTGCGTCTTCTAAGAAGAAGAACAATGTCACTAGCTTCTTGGGGAATTGTCGATGAAAATTGGGACGAAGGGATAAATCATCTCTTCTCGAGGGGAAAAAACGCGTAAGTGTAATGGCGGTCGTAGGTCAGGATCTTGAGGCGTCGTCCCACTGTCACCGTGAGTACATAAAGTGTTTCGCAAGAAAAGCAAGAAATTAATTTCGCAGACTCCAGAGAAAGGTAGAGAATCATTTTCTCCGAGATGCAAAGTCTTCGAACTTGGATATAGCGAAAATTAGAGTATTTCCATTCGCTTGGAGTCTAGTTACTCCAGCGAAGGATCGCCGGAGAGTTTAGAGCTGAGAGTTAAGAGCTGAGAGCTGAGACTTGAGAGGAGATTGAATCGATATAGAACACGCCGTTGCTCCAGTTCCTATTGCTTTCGCCGTTTCAGCGCAATAAATCGCCGCTTCGTGAGGAGGATTCGCTCCTCCGTGGCGAGTGTACGTGCCGGAGGACGTTCGAGATCTTCCACAGCCAGCTTTCACTAGCTCGATCTCGATCCATGTGTAACAAACACTTCCATACATAAGTACATAGTAGTAAGCAAGGGAAATAGGAAAAAGGTAGACGCCAAGGCCGTGCATCTGGGCTTCTCCATTTAGAGAACCATTCTATAGCAGTCGTGTTAAAAAGCCAACGAGATAGAGTGACGGAAGTCGAGTCTGTTCCCGCATACACTTAGCACCTTTCTGCATCCGCTTGGGCAACAGGGAACATTCTCCTATGAATCGCTATGCAAATCTCCGTGTAGCATTGTTCCTTCGTGAAAACTAGCCTTTTTCTTTTAGTAGATGTGATAAATTCATGCGATTGATATTTCTTCCGATAATTTTCACGATAATTATATTATTACATCTAGTCTGATAATCTCTCGTTGAACATCAACTACCGAAGAATTAAGTGCAAAGTACCGTTACCTAAATGATAACTGCTCGTCAAACGGCTACACTTATTACATCCCTCCAAGAGATTCGATCCAAAGGAATTGGTCTAGCCCCCCACACCTATGACCCGAGCTTTCTCTGCCGCCGCGCCGGTTTAACGATCGTCGAAGAATGTCACGCTGTTTGTGATATACAGACGAATATTCACGCTCGTGGGCGGCTTTGACATAAGCGAGGAATACGGAAGTCTTGAAAACTTCAAGTACTTGGCATCGTTGTCTCGTCTTCAACCCTTTCTTATTTTTATCAGTCACTTGTGAGAATCTCAAGTAAGGGTCTAATACGATGGAAGAAGCTGGTGAATCGATCAGTAGGCTAAACTCCCACCACTCTGGCCACGTTCTTCGGTCTATACGTGTAAATATCGTGCCATCTGCGGACGAGTCGAAGACAACTTTCGCCCCCCAAGGCTGGGAAGATTCCTCGTCGCGAGCTCATCGCGCGTAATAGAGACGTGGATGGTCAGTGAAGAGCAACGTGGCGTCTGTTTAATTACGAAATCCCTCAATTGGAATTGTCTCGTGATATTTCACCTATGCGTACATAGGGAAGAGAAAAAAAGAAGATCTTTAAATTGTTCGATAAAGAGATTATATATTTGTTTACGTAACTCGACGGGATTCGTAAACGAACCGGAAACTTTATCTCTTTCACGCAGGATAAACAGAATGCGAAGCGGATTGCGAAATATCCCGATTGTCGAGCCGCGACCTCGATCTTCAACCTCCCCGTGTAACCTCTTCCTCGCCATTTTCTTTTTTTACCTCTCTGTTCTTTTATTATAGTGCAGCGTTGTATATTCGAAATTAGATGAAATGATAAACAAGAAGGAGAAGAAGAAGTTGGATAGTTGAAAGTCCCGAAGTCCCGAAATGAACCTTCGAAATCACGGAATCGATATAAGGAATGCGACATAGCACTCCCAGGATGCGCCTTTTCAAGGGGTCGAGGCGCGATCTTCGCTGGCAAAGGGCACAAGACGACCGGTCGCGGCGAACGCCACGATTTCTGTGTCCCTGGAGCATGCTCCAAACATCACGGACTAATTGATCCTATCTTAGATCTCTATCAACGTCGTGAACTTTCAATTGAATGATTTAACGCGTCGATCTTTTCGAGAATCACCGATACCATCGTATAAAACGCGATATAAACTCAGAAATATCAAACTTTATTCGACAATTAAAGAATTTTTATCCTTTGGAAATTCTGCCACACAGTACGAGTCGACGTGTTAATAGAAAGTGGCTTTTACCACCAGTGACGCAACCGATAGATCATTTATCAACGATTTGTCGTGGATGCAAACATCAGCTTTCTTAAACATCTCATAATTGTAAAATTCACAGGGGTTTCTGACCTTTGGATAAATCATAATCTCTTAAGATTCGAAAAAAAAGTCATTGATTTTCACTTTTTAACTTAACAAATAACCAATAGAACAAATTGCTTGAAAATTCTTTAAAAAATTTACAAAGAATTCATGAAAGAGATCTTCATGAAAGAATTCAACATAAAATGATCGCATTTAATAGAGAAGGAAAAAACGTGAAAAACAGCTGAACGAAGAATTCCACGATTTCAATAAGACAAACATTCATAGTACTCCATACTATAACGATATTCCAGGCGTGAATCGCTTCACAACTTTCCAGTCGCTGGCAGGTAGCATCTGTCTGAGCATAGATCGAGCGGAGAGTGACGTAACACTCTTCGTTACGTCCTCTGCCACCATCGAACGCTCACATGCCTTCTCTCAGAAGACCCCTACCTCGACCCCTATCTGGGGGCGTCCTACCGTACCGCGTTCCCCGCTGGGCATCCTCTTCTCGGTCGAAGTAGTCTCCTCAGAGCCGCAGTCGCCTCCAAGAGTCCTTTCGCGAAGGTAACCAGCGAATGCAGACTAGTATCCGTTCAGTGAACCGTCTATTCCTCAATAGAAACGTCATGGGTTCAATAGGGTGGCGTTTTGTCCTTGTATGGGGTGAGTTGATCTTCTAATTTGAATTTTGCTCTTCTTCAAAAATAATTTCATATTACTTGATACAGTGAGTGTGGTTGGAGTCTGTGTTTTGGGGCTCCAGAGACCTCCACCCAGGTACTCCCAACAGTACATGCCAGAAACTTCCTTTTCCTGTCGAAACAAGATAGTAGGAAGTTACTATGCTGATCCTGAGACAGACTGCCAGGTGTTCCATGTCTGTGTGTCAGTGTCTGGCACCATCCAGGACTACAAGTAGGTTGCTAGATCCCATTGAGAGCAGGTTGATACAAGTGTATCTATGTGTGTATTCCTTTCTAAAGGTTTCTGTGCCCCAATGACACTGCATTCGATCAGGAGAGCCAGACTTGTGCAGATTGGTACGATGTGGACTGTGAGGCAGCCACTCTCTATTATGCCAGTGACAATTTTGACCTGTACAGACTGGGCTCTGGCCTGGAATCGCCGAATTATGATAGTATACGCAGCGATGCTGAACCTCAGGATCATCTGCAGAGGTCTGAGACCAGTGACCCCGTCCGTTCATCTGCAAATACTCTGAACAGAGTGTCTTCGAGTGGTTTCAACAGCAACAGAGATTTAAGAGGCAGCAGCAGTGGCAATTTTTATAATAACAGGAATGGCAAAGAGGAAGATTATGAGAATGAAAAATCTTATAAGGAGGAAGTTCCTCAGGACAATAAAAAAAAGGGTGGAATCAGAAAAGTCAGCAGAAAACAGCAGTACAATGATAATAGTAACAATTACACACCAACGAGTACAGCTGCTCCTGCTGGTGGTAATCAGAACACTTACACTGGGTTCTACAGTGGAAGTAATTACCAGAATCAGAGAACAAATGGCTTTATAACTTCCACAAGTGTAAGGCCACAAGAAAACTTCAACAGAAATCAGAATACCCAGAGGTATAATACACAAAGTACCAGCTATCAGAATAATTACAACTTCCAGTCTCCCAGCACTACAACCAGGACCACTATCTACAATGCTTACAATACTAATACTAATTCTAATTACAATCAACAGAATGCTGGTGGCTTCAGTCAGAGTACCACAGTGAAGCCCACTAGTTATAACAAGAATTATAATAATGGAGCACAGTTTGTACAGTCCACGACCTTGCAGCCCAGCACCAATTACCAGGCAAATGACTATACAAACTACCAGAGAAATTATAATAACATTCAACGTGGGAATAATAATGTTCCATATCAGTCCACCACTGCTGCACCTACCATTTATGATAATAACTACAATAACAACAATAATAATGGACAGTACAGAGCTGGATCAACCACCAGACAAGACATCTCCCAGGCAACCACTAAATACTTCCCCAGTTTTGCAAGCAGCAGTTATGCTCCCACTACATATAGTCCAGCTACCAAAAAATACATTCCAAATGATAATGCTCCAGCTCAAACTGCTGTGAGGAGTAATGAGAGTGGACCATACTATGAAAAATCTAGCCAGTCGATTAAAAGTTCATCCCAATACTATGACAGTACCAAAGCACCAAAGAAGGCCACTCAGTACAACAATTATGATGGAACAAATGAAAAATATTACACTGAAACTAGCACAGGAAACTATGATCTAGCAAAATCCTCTGTTGGAATTGGATTCAGCCCTGCTAGTATCAATCACTTAGCTGAGACATCAAGATCTACCACTCCAGTACCAAGGTAATTAACTAATATACAATATTTATACTTATCTGACTTAAAAAAGAGCATATTAAAAAATTCCTTTACAGGAGGATTTCTACAGCCACTACCTACAATCCAAGCAATTTCAACTCAAATACCCAAAGACCACCACAACCACCAACTACTCCTAGGGGAAGCACTTATGTCAGTGGGTCTGCCAGGCCATTTTCATCCACAACAAGACTTCCCAGTACCACTACACCAAGACCAAAATCTGGGAAGAAATCTGACTATGATTATGCCTATTACGACAACACTGCAGGGCTAGAATATGACAGTCTCGATTTGGAACATGTGACTGGAAACAAAGAGTCCACGAAGATCGCAAGGAATTGATTTTCTTTTAAATGTAACGCGACAAAGATAGATACAATTTCCAAGAAAACGTGCAAGTTGCCAAGTTTACGAATAATAATGGCCAGTCCATCGTCAAAATCGGCTTTCGATGATAATTAAAACGAAATACATTGAAAGCTGGTTTTGTTCCTGTAAAGGATAGAGATCGCCTTAAGCATAGCTGACCTGTTTTATCTCCACCATTTTTTTTTTACAGTATTGTAGGATAAAGAATTACGCAATGTAACAATATTCCATCGTTTATGGTGAAATTATTGTTAACGAAGGAATATTTTTATGGTAACGCGATTTCCTTTTGGAAATTCAATACGTTTTGTACATATACAATATACATATAACGAGAGGTGTTCGAATCTACTATAATGTCACTATTCGCATGCTAAAATCTGCGGACTGAGTGTATATATAATAAGTATTTTAATAAAAAAAAGCATTAAAAAATATTCCAACTTTTAAATTTGAATTTTGCAGTCATACCAATGATAAAAAATAAAATACTCTAAATTAAAAATAATTCTTATTAAGAATTTTTTCATAAAATATTTAAAAACATTTACGAAATCATTCTCGAGAATTTCCCAACCTTTCTGGAAAATTCCTATGACCTTCATGAAAATCACTAGAGATAAGAGTTTCATGATATGCAGCACCAGTGTAGCCGCACGCTTAACCCTAAGCGGCTTGAAGAATTCGGAATGGAGATGTTCCAATTCTTCGAAAAACGTCACCTCTAATTTTTTACACCAATCTAATATATAATATTATTACCGTACATTATAAAAACGTTCGACTCAAGTGATATCGACGCATTGTCAAAAAAGTTACATTCACCTAAACAACAATAACGTGTTCATTCATAGCTACATGTAAGTATTTCGATAACTATCCATTTCATTGAAGCTTCAGATTTCATAAATAAGTATATTTTTAGCTTTTCAAGCTGCGTATTTAGTGGTGACATTGAGACAACAGGAAATGTAGGTTATTGCATAATCTATTTATAGGTTATAACTCCTGTATCCTTGTTTCAGTTTTCCTGGATGAAAATAACACTACTCTAATGTCAGACTTTCATTACACAGATCCTAAAGCTAAGAAGAATGGGTAATGTGATAACTTCTGCCGTGTCAGCAGCTGATGTAATTAAGCCAATGCATCAGGAACAAATTACAAAGCCTTCGCATCATGGGATACACAAACCAGAAGGAGACCCTCCTCCAGAGTGTCCTATGCATAATAAATTTGCACAGCAGAAGCCACCTCCTACATACAGTAGTGAATGTCCAATAAATGACATGGCTCAGAATGACATTAATCCCCTTAACATGGTTGGTATTAGATTTAACATTACCTTAACACATTAGAATCAATTTAAATTGAATTCTAGATGCCACCAGCTAATCAACAACCAGCTCCAGATCAACCCTTCCCATTGCCAACAAAGAGAGAAGTCTCCTCCATACCAAAAGCAACAGCAGAGGGGGAATTTTGGGTATATCCTTCACAACAGATGTTTTGGAATGCTATGTTGAGAAAAGGGTGGCGTTGGAAAAGCGACGATATAACAGCGAAGGATATGGATGACATAATAAAAATTCACAATGCTAATAATGAACAAGCATGGGAGGAAGTGTTGAAATGGGAAGCGCTTCATGCAAAGGAATGTAGCACTCCGAAATTACGCAGCTTTGGAGGCAAAGCAAAACAGTACTCACCACGCGCGCGTATTCGATACTGGATGGGGTAAATTTTAATTACAACGAAGAATAATGTAGGATAATTTTTCAGAAATTAAATTGATAAATATTGTATTACTTTGTTCAGCTATGAACTACCGTTCGATCGTCACGATTGGATCATAGACAGATGTGGGAAGGATGTACGATACATTATAGACTACTATGATGGTGGACAAGTGAATGAAAAATACACATTTGCATTATTGGATGTTAGACCAGCTATGGATTCACTGGAGAACATTTGGGATCGTATGAGGGTAGCATGGTTACGTTGGAAGTATTGTAATGATTCAGAGCAATCAGAATGTGCCACAAAGGAGGAGAAGATATAGAGATGAATAGAATAATCGAGAAATCTTAGCTTATTGATTAATCACATGCTCGTTTTATGAGTTACTTGTTATGTGTTACGTTCACGCAATGTACAGTTTTTAAAATACAAGATGACGTAGTTACATGAAACAGCAAAGAGGTTCACTAATGTTTAAAAAACAAAGGAAAAAGGAAAAGAATATTGTACAATTTTCTGATATTCTTCGAACGGTATTTAGATAATTACAAAAACTCGATTCCGGAAAAAATATTTTCCCTCGAACATGGTAAATGTATGTTCTAATAAAATGGGGAAATTTTTACAAATTGGAGACTCGTTCTTTCAGTGTACTATACAGTAAAAGTTCTATAAAAGTTCTTTCGGATCTACGCCATGAATGTTCATGGTCTATCTCCATCATAAGGGAAGACCACCCTTGAACCAGGCAAGCGACTAATGTGACACGGCCGCGGCATCTCTTTATCGCATTCGGCGTCGGCATGCCGTGCGACAACACTAACAAAACTACAAAAGTTTGTTATTTTCAATTTTTCGTTAATAAAAATTTCGTCAAAATATTGGTGAGATTTTCCTGATTAAAATGATAACAAACACGATATTGTTACAAAACTTGATTGTGTCGATTGGGGCTTGTGAATCTTCCTTTGCCCACTACGTTCATTTCACTGTTTACATCACAGAATGTAACACCATTTCTCATAAATGTGCCAAAAGGGAACATTTATCCAGACTAGAACTGAACCTATCCGGTTATTCTCGAATGGGCCACTCTTCTACACGATAATTGTTCGTAAGCGGCATTGCCTTTGATCAATTATCGGATAGGAAGAAACGATTTTTGACCTTTGACGAGTTTAAAGGACA